GTCGTGAGATCGCAAGGCTGTTTAGACACTACCACATACAAACATTGGACGTGTATGTTAGTCAATGAAATATAAATGTTTGTTACCCTTTTTTAAGTGATCAAATTGCTTCGAAACAATTAAATCTTAATTCAGATAAAATAAAGAGAAACATTAGAATATAATTGATCAGTTTGAAATTATAATCAAATACCTAGTAATCCCGAAATTTGAATTAAAAAAAATAATAAAAATTTAAAATCCAAATTATGTAATTCAGATTTCTTATACTAAAAGATTATTTCGCACCTATTGTGATACCGCGTTCGCGTGTTATGTTAAACAAACTACAATTCCTAGCGCAACGAGTACTACAGTGCACACACACACAACTTTCAATATAACTCGCGTTACCAAATTTTCTTGCAATAAATTTCTATACAGTGCGATACAGAATTAAATTCTGCATCAGGAAAAATTATACCGAACTTATTGTGATACCGCGTTCGCGTGTTATGTTAAACAAACTACAATTCCTAGCGCAACGAGTACTACAGTGCACACACACACAACTTTCAATATATTCAATATATTTTATTCAATCGCGAATATCTCGTAAACTTAAAGAGATAAATAGGATCTGATCGCAGCGTCTTAATCTACGGACTATTACTTATCAGATAGGATAGTTAAAAGGGAAATCTGCGAGATGAAATTTTAAGTCTTAAGAAAAAATTGCCAAGGGGGTGCTTGATACTTTTTTTCGACGATTTTCAAAAATTAATATCTCTTAAACTAAAAGAGATAGCTACCAACGAATTGTTGATTATGAAAGATTGGAAGATTCTCTATCAGATAAAAATATAAAATAATTATATTTCCTACAGTAAAAGGTCGAAAAACGCGACTAAAAGTGCTAAAAAGTGACATTTTGCAATTTTTGCCCATTTTATTCAATCGCGAATATCTCGTAAACTAAAAGAGATAAATAAGATCTGATCGCAGCGTCTTAATCTACGGACTTTTCTCTATCAGATAGGATAGTTAAAAGGGAAATCTGAGAGATGAAATTTTAAGTCTTAAGAAAAAATTGCCAAGGGGGGGTGCTTGATACTTTTTTTCGACGATTTTCAAAAATTAATATCTCTTAAACTAAAAGAGATAGCTACCAACGAATTGTTGATTATGAAAGATTGGAAGATTCTCTATCAGATAAAAATATAAAATAATTATATTTCCTACAGTAAAAGGTCGAAAAACGCGACTAAAAGTGCTAAAAAGTGACATTTTGCAATTTTTGCCCATTTTATTCAATCGCGAATATCTCGTAAACTAAAAGAGATAAATAAGATCTGATCGCAGCGTCTTAATCTACGGACTTTTCTCTATCAGATAGGATAGTTAAAAGGAAATCTGAGAGATGAAATTTTAAGTCTTAAGAAAAAATTGCCAAGGGGTGCTTGATACTTTTTTTCGACGATTTTCAAAAATTAATATCTCTTAAACTAAAAGAGATAGCTACCAACGAATTGTTGATTATGAAAGATTGGAAAATTCTCTATCAGATAAAAATATAAAATAATTATATTTCCTACAGTAAAAGGTCGAAAAACGCGACTAAAAGTGCTAAAAAGTGACATTTTGCAATTTTTGCCCATTTTATTCAATCGCGAATATCTCGTAAACTAAAAGAGATAAATAAGATCTGATCGCAGCGTCTTAATCTACGGACCAATCTCTATCAGATAGGATAGTTAAAACGGAAATCTGAGAGATGAAATTTTAAGTCTTAAGAAAAAATTGCCAAGGGGGGGTGCTTGATACTTTTTTTCGACGATTTTCAAAAATTAATATCTCTTAAACTAAAAGAGGTAGCTACCAACGAATTGTTGATTATGAAAGATTGGAAGATTCTCTATCAGATAAAAATATAAAATAATTATATTTCCTACAGTAAAAGGTCGAAAAACGCGACTAAAAGTGCTAAAAAGTGACATTTTGCAATTTTTGCCCATTTTATTCAATCGCGAATATCTCGTAAACTAAAAGAGATAAATAAGATCTGATCGCAGCGTCTTAATCTACGGACCAATCTCTATCAGATAGGATAGTTAAAAGGGAAATTTGAGAGAAGAAATTTTAAGTCTTAAGAAAAAAATTGCCAAGGGGGGGTGCTTGATACTTTTTTTCGACGATTTTCAAAAATTAATATCTCTTAAACTAAAAGAGATAGCTACCAACGAATTGTTGATTATGAAAGATTGGAAGATTCTCTATCAGATAAAAATATAAAATAATTATATTTCCTACAGTAAAAGGTCGAAAAACGCGACTAAAAGTGCTAAAAAGTGACATTTTGCAATTTTTGCCCATTTTATTCAATCGCGAATATCTCGTAAACTAAAAGAGATAAATAAGATCTGATCGCAGCGTCTTAATCTACTGACTTTTCTCTATCAGATAGGATAGTTAAAAGGGAAATTTGAGAGAAGAAATTTTAAGTCTTAAGAAAAAAATTGCCAAGGGGGGGTGCTTGATACTTTTTTTCGACGATTTTCAAAAATTAATATCTCTTAAACTAAAAGAGGTAGCTACCAACGAATTGTTGATTATGAAAGATTGGAAGATTCTCTATCAGATAAAAATATAAAATAATTATATTTCCTACAGTAAAAGGTCGAAAAACGCGACTAAAAGTGCTAAAAAGTGACATTTTGCAATTTTTGCCCATTTTATTCAATCGCGAATATCTCGTAAACTAAAAGAGATAAATAAGATCTGATCGCAGCGTCTTAATCTACTGACTTTTCTCTATCAGATAGGATAGTTAAAAGGGAAATTTGAAAGAAGAAATTTTAAGTCTTAAGAAAAAAATTGCCAAGGGGGGGTGCTTGATACTTTTTCTCGACGATTTTGATAATTAATATCTCTTAAACTAAAAGCGATAGCTACCAACGAATTATTGATTATGAAAGATTGGAAAATTTTCTATCAGATAAAAGTATAACATAATTATAGTTCTTACATTAAGAGATCGAAAAACACGACTAAAAGTGGTAAAAAGTGACATTTTTCAATTTTGCCCATTTTATTCAATCGCGAATATATCGTAAACTAAAAGAGATAAATAAGATCTGATCGCAGCGTCTTAATCTACGGACTATTCTCTATAAGATAGGATAGTTAAAACGGAAATCTGAGAAATGAAATTTTAATTCGTAGGAAAAAATGGGCAAATAGGGGTCAGCTATACAATCATCCACGTACGGTGCCCTGAATACGAGTCACTTCTACCGCTGCCCTCGTACGGTGCCCTGAATACGAGTCACTTCTGTCGCTGCCCACTTTTAAACTAAAATCGGAAGCGACCAACGGATCAAAGAATATGAAAGATTGGAAAATTCTCTATCAGGTAAAAGTTAAAAATAATTTTAATTGAAATTTTAATTGAATTGAACGAAATAAAGGTGCCGAACTGGGAGTAGTGAAAAACTGACTAAAACGTGCGAACGTTTGTAGTGCGAGCATAGCATGGAGCTGATAAGCGGATAGAGATGAACATCATACAAATCTGAAACCGGTATTAAAATGGCTCAAACAGTTCCGAGATCATGTGCAATTTCCTCAGCTTGTTTACAAAAATTTCTAAATTTTCCGTCTTTTGGGTGCGGTTGTCAAGGATTTCTCGCGTGATGGCAAATTTAAGACCGTAATTTAATTATTACAAATAATTCCATAAATAAAATTTCAAAAATCGGTTGCTACGATAAGATTCTCGAATTTACGGTAGTCACTCAGCCACCGAAAAGAATTTGACGAGTCCGATTTGCCGAGTACGATCGTCTTGTACGCGTATCAGTAGAAGATAAGAAATAAGAACTTAGTGCACACACGCGATAAAAACATGAATATCAAGCAACATAACCCACAGAAACTGAACACGCATTAAATCAATGTGTTTGAGATAATGATTGAGTTTACTTACTGAGTAGTACCTGCGCTGAAAAACTTCCACCATCGACGAACGAGCTGAATGAAAATCCAAATTCACAACGTCCGACGGCACTTCCTTCAGAAAAAAAAAATACGAATATATTTCATTCTGCGAACATTTTATATGCGATAAATCATTAGCGAGACACAATCGACAACTATATTCACTAAGAACACCGAATATAATACGCGTTATCAAATTAAATCCTAAGAACCGCGACGAACGCGTGCGAACCATCCGTCGGATACGGCGAAACTAATTTTATTTCTGCAGCGTGAGCAAACGATACACGCACCGCCATCACACCGTCGCGTATACAATACAAAACTATACACAACTATCGTACGCGTATCAATTGACAATAAGAGATAAGAAAAAACCGGTCGAATTCCAGTGCTATGTGAGATCGCAAGACTGTTTAGACACCACCACAAACAAACATTGGGCATGTATTTGCATCAATAAAATATAAATATATCTTTACCTTTGCTTCCATTGAGGTTTCTACGAAACAATTGTTTAACAATCGTGGATTTTCACCCGCCATCATTAATTATTAAATCACTGAACACAGCTTTTGCAATTTCAACTCGTTGATTGAAACAAAGCAAATTGTTGTTTTAAAATCACGGCAATATTGGTGCGTTGGTTTTATGAATTAATTTTCATTCTATGATATTGCTCTATAGTTACACAAACACATGAAACGACAGTTATTTAGCAATTCACAAATATTCTACGGAAGCACCTAACGCGTGGAATACACACCGACACCAACCGACGGCAAAACGGATACTGGAAAGCCGGGCGCGCAAAACGGGCCGCTACCACGCGCGTTACCTCGTGCAAGGCGATAAAAAAGTTGTTTTTGTATTACACTGATAAAAAATCACGTGTTGTATTGTAAACACGTGAACATCGTGTTATTTTATTTTAACACGGAATCTTATGAACAGAATCGAATACGATGATGAATGTGTATGAAAGGATTAAATTCGGACTTCCAAAATCAATCAAAACGCAGATAAATAATTAATTAATTTATTATATTACTACATACCATGTATATAATAATAAAGTAATTTAAGAACTGCAATCTGATCAATCCTGGCAAAATAATAAAACAGCTGTATAAATTCCTTGATTCTTATGACTGCCTCGTTAAATAACTATTACGAAATAAATGACGACACTTAGTTACAAAAAAATTGCAATTATTTGCATTTACGCTTACGACCTTCACGTTCTCAACGCCCATAGGTTTACTTCTTTCGCCATTTATCAATCTAACTAGATATAATAACAGTTGACAAGATTCACATTTATAATGAATTTAATTCCACTACATTTGATCCTTTCAGCGATTTCCTGTAGAAGACTTCTGTTTATTAATATTTTAGGTAACTTCCATGTACTCACGCTCCCACTATGTTTAATCTTAAATATTTACAGTAGTGTTTATTTGCATGCTGATACAAAAATAGGCGCAGCTTTTAATCAATTCTCTGGAACGAATTAAAAACCGCTGTATCATAATCTTATAACATTTTTTCACTCAAAATTCATTTAATTTCTTGATGGCACTTGTCGCAATATACAAACTTAATTTTGTTTAAATCGTTGAAGTGTTATTTGTATACAAGAAAATCTCGAAATTCTCTTGCACGGTAAAATCTATTTCTCCATCGCATCATGTCAACCTAACTAAGTTCAATAAAACTGTATAAGCATTGCATTTTGCCACAAATAAACAATTCGCCTTCAGATTCATCAACATTCTGGGCGTTTAATATATCTGCTAAAATTAATGTAAAATTTAATAAAAAATAATAAAACAATTAAGTTATTAAATTAATGAATAACTAGAGTTAGCAACAAAAGGTCATGTTCGATTTATCAAATGCGATACACGATATTTTATATGAATTAGCGGAGAGTATTTCGCGCGGTCCGATCCAAAATCCCATCTCCGGATCGTCGAAAATCGCGTATATTTAAGCGCGCAAATATTATAACGTCCCGTCAGGGGACAAGCGGACGACTGGAGGCTGAAATTGCGTTAAAATTCATTGTCCCAGCCACTGACGTCATCGGGGGGCTGACCCTCGCTGTCTGGAGGATACTCATCGAAATTGGAGGTGTCCGTGACATGTTTCACCACCGGTTTGATAGGAGGTTCCATTGATCGATTGCACAGTCCTTCCCAATTAAAACCATCGAACCACCTAAAAGGAATACCCTTAGAACATACCACTTTCTCATTTATTGAACCACTTACTTGTGCTTTTGAATTTCGCTGATGCCGCCTTTCTGATATCCCAATCGTTCTGCGGGGTTGTCCCTGCATAATTTCTTAATTAGAGCCGCGGCGTTGCGTGTGATATTCCTCGGGAACTCGATTGCATCTATTCCCTTCAAGATGATGTTATACGTCTTCATGGGGTCGGAGCCTGCAAACGGCGGGGTGCCAGTCAGCAACTCAAACATAAGAACGCCCAACGACCAGTAGTCTGCTCCGATGTCATGGCCCTTATTAAGAATCACCTCGGGAGCCACATACTCAGGGGTGCCGCAGAACGTCCATGTTTTCCGCCCGGTCTGCAGTTTCTTAGCAAAGCCAAAGTCGACCAACTTTACATAACCGTGGTTGTCTAGGAGCAGATTCTCCGGCTTCAAATCGCGATAAATGATATTTCGCGAGTGCAGATAATCAAACGCCTCCACGACGCAGGCGGTATAAAAGCGTGTGGTACCATCATCAAAATGAGCTCGATCACGCAACACCGTCCATAGCTCACCGCCCAAGCAACTCTCCATTAACATGTAGAGATACTTGCGGTCCTTAAACGTTTTGTACAGTTTGACGATGAACTCGCAATTTGCTTCACCCATGATCTCTTTCTCAGACATAATGTGCTGCTGTTGGCGCGTTTCCACAATCTGCGCCTTCTTCATCTGCTTCAATGCGAAGGAGCGGTTAGTATCGCCCTGAACTTGCACCAGCTCCACGCGACCAAATCCACCGACGCCGAGCGTCGCCAATATACGCAAATCAGTGAGTTTGACATGATTAAACTCGTCGTTTATCCTGTAAAAACAACAGTAAAAAATCGGGCCCTAGGTAAACTACACACCGCATTCAACTAATGTAACAATCACTCACCACTGTTCCATTAGTTACCAAAGCACCAAGTTTGTTAGTATAAACAATCAAAAATTATAAGCAAATTTTATATATGAAGTAAGTCAATTTTAAAAAGTACCTCTTTCTTTCCGTGGTTTCGTCCTTGTATTTAGTACGTATCTCATCTAAATTGGATATCAATTGATTGAAAGTTTCCCGGTCAATTACCAAACAGGACACGCCATCTACGTCGTCGGCAATAATATTTGCGGTGCGCAAATCATCCCTGTTCCAAAAAAATACACAATCGCATATTAAAAACACAAATAGATGCTGTTAAATGCATGTTCGATGTGTACGACAAAGTAATCATATCTCGACCAAGGATTTGTATAATACAAGTGGATAGGATAGCATAGTGGTTTCAAAAAATGCGAAAATATGATAATTTTAAATCGTAACAAAGGAATGAAGATAAACGAACATTTCATGGTGGGGATAAATACGCACCCCTGCAATGCCTTTTCGCCGAAAAAGTCTCCCTTGAACAGGTTTCGAATGAATTTTTCGTCGCCGGCGTCTTCCTGCTTCATCGTAACCTGCACGCGCCCCTTGCTGATGATGAAGAAGGTATCGCCGCGCGCTCCCTGTCGAATTATGTAGTCGCCTTCCTGGTATGTCACCTCGTCCAGAATGTCGGAAATCTTGATCAGAGTGTCTTCGGGCAGGCCTTTGAAAATCGGTACGCTGCAAATAAAACAAAAGTCGGTGCTATCAAAGCATACCATTCCGCATTCTCACACGTGAATACCCTGCTATGCGTGCGTGTGTGTGAAAGTGTACGTGCATGTGTAATGAGCGTAATGAGCATTTGCATTTAGCTGCAAATTGCCGCCGATCGGGAAAACGAGCGCAATTTGCGTTTCCGTTTTAAATTTCCGTTTTCCTGCTATTTTAAACCTCCGCTAAACTACTAAAATAAAAACTTGTAATGACAGAGAAAGGCAAAGACAAGCTAGCACACCACGTTGATAAATTTCCGACATCTTCATAAATGGTGTTAAACGTTTTCCATTTACTGCTGCTGGCGACTTTAGCGAATGGAATTAACGACAGTGTGCGCATCACCAAGTTCCAACAATGTGATCCGCTTACCGACTATCCGCTGAAAATCAAGGCGACATTCAAGACCGTGAGGAATGCGCAATACCTGGACTACAATGGCACCTACACAATCCCGTACGTCTACAATGCATCAGTAAGTGACCTCTGTACATTCCAAGCGATGATTGCACGCCCACGCCCATCATCTTTCAGATGCATGTGCATATAGCCATCTCCCCAAACGGGAAGAACTTCATTCATATGATGACCCTACGAGGGGATGACGTATGCGCCTTCCAACGGAAGTATTTAGGCGAATTCTATTTCCTTATTCTTGAGAGAAGTGGATTGACAAGGGACACTTGCCCAATTCCAGCAGTAAATATGATTTTGTTCAAATTAATTATAAGTTATTCTATTAATTAATTTTTAGGGAATCTATTCCAGCAGAAATATGAAAATTGACTTTAGCAACATCCCAGTGGATGCCCTACCAGCTGGTGTTGTAAGATTACGGCAAATGGTAATACAAAAGAAGACTAAGAAACTTTTAAGTTGTGTAGACATGGAAATTTCTAACAAATTAAAGTAGATATAAACCTGGTAAACTCAACTCAACTTAATGCATGTGGAAAATTGTGAATAAATGTCTTCAAAAGTGACTTACCTCTTCAAAAAATCGGTGTATTCGGCCTGTCGGATAAGACCGGTACGCATCATGATCGTTTGGAAGCATGGTCGATCGATCGCCCATAGCTTGCAGTCGGTGGCAGCTTTGATAGTGGCTGTGCGCTTGCAATTATAGAGAATCGCTAGCTCCCCGAGTACCTTACCAGGTGCCAATGTACTCAGGTATTTGTTCTCCCGCGACACCTCGACCCGTCCCTCTGAAGACAAAAACAAACACACACAAACGATTATTTAGGAAATCAAAGATGAAAGTCATCAACTGCCATGCGGTGGCACGCATTAGGAGAAACTTGACCCCCGCGGGGCTCTGGGGTCACTTTCTCTGACACGCGTGCCATACATGATGCGCGTGTAGATTATTATATCTTGTTACACCTTGATAGATTCGATACACGAAAAGAAACATCGGACCGCTCCACCCGTAACGCACCACAAAAGGTCAAAGAAAGTACACGGACATTAACTGAGAATTTCACCCACAAAACAGAAAAAAATCACAAAAATATTGCACCTTCACTCAACATTTCAACCAAACGACTGACAGTCGCGGACAGTTGTGCCTGTAACTTGATCTATTTATACCTATTGCTGAAACAATTGAATAAAGGAATATTTCAAAACACCTGCTCACCGTTATCACAATTCGCAGTAGTATCACAGTTATTGCTGACTAAGTTACCAGTTTTGCGTTTGCGCACGCCATAGGAATGCACTGGCACTACGAGGCGCGGCCTGGGTATCAGAAAGTCGTCGCCGGTGAGCCGGCCCTTGCCGCTGCTCTTAACTGGACTCGTCCTCCCACACTTGTATAAATGCGCATAAACGTCCGCCTCCAGGTCGTCGGCGCTGCTGACGGCGCCGGATCCGCGTGCCGAGCTGGAGCTGCCGCTGGCACTCTTATCAGAGTCAGACAACTCGGGACTGCTCAAGTAGAGCTTCATCGGTGGGATACGTTGCCTGGCACGTCCGCCTCCTTGGCGTGCCGCTTCCACATAGTCCTTCTCGTCCACCCATCGCGCGTCATCCTCAAAGTCATCTTCGTTGCGAAAGCGCAGCGGGTCAGCGGTGAGCGAGGCAGAGTTCACATTTACGAAATGCACATTCTTCTTTTCGAAATCGTGCTTGGTCTTGGAGTTGATGCGTGCGAGGCACTTGTCGGAATGGTATTTCAATTTGGGGCGGGATCTGGCAGGAACAGGAGGATGGGTTGGAGCAGCAATAGCGCACTCCTTTAGTTCATCGAGAAGTGCCTGGTACTGTGATAATTTCGAGGTACCACGTAGGGTACCCTCCCACACGTTAATACCGCTCGGGGCTGCATCGCCTACACCACCTGCAGGCAGTTCCGGGGCACTGGTCCAATTTGCTTCGTAGCGTTTACCACGTGCGCTTGGTGGTACGTCCATCTCCAGCCATCCGGGGTCATTCTGGACCGCTTTTCCTGGGTAGTTCTTAATACGCATGGTTAGCGTTGGAGATTTGCTGGTACGTCCTGATGTTACTGCAGTTCAGTCGGTGCAGTGTCGTCATTGCCACTATATGGGAATATAATTAGCGATTGGCTCAAAGTAAAAGAGCAAAGAAATGCTTCGAACGGCTTTTCGGGTATTCCCTGCACTTTACATTACATCATACCAGTCATTATTCGTAAACTCATGCTTGGCGCATCGTAAGTCGCAATCACAACTTGAGTGTTCGTACATAATAAAATTGGAAAGTCAAGTTTTCAATAACTTCCGTTCTGCTGCGCTACAATAAGAGTCGCTCAATCGCACGCGATCGAAATACCAATACGAGACTTTCAAATGCACGTTTTTAATTTCGATTATATTACAGCGCTCATTTGCATGTCATAATATTTGCCGCAACGCATTACCAATCACTTCCTATCGACCCATTTACATCGATACAAATCTGGGCTAGAGCTATTACGTTTAAGAAATTCACATAAAAATTTAAATTAAACACGCACCAAAATTGCTCTGCACTAATTTTAATATTTCTGTTATTCAAAGTAAAAAAAGACCAAATATATTTCGTGGTCAACTTTCAATTTCATTTATAAATCTCCAAATAGGTCGGATGATTCATATCCAGCATCAGCATCTCTTTGGATTTCATGTATTCCAGCGAAAGATGCAAAGAGATATCTGACCTTGCAGTCACCTCTTAGAAACGTAGGTCGTAAGTTTTGTATTCACGGCCTACAGCACATGTTCTTTTACTTTTTCGGTTTCGTTCGGGCCGAACGGATCGGCATGCACGTTTTCGGTCAAGAGGCCGCTTGAGAAGAGAGAGTGACGCATCCTCGCATTTACATCTTCATTTCTGAGATATAAATTTGAGTAAATACTGTGTTTATTTTGGCTTACCGCTGTTAGGAGCTACTTTAAAGATTACGGGCGTTTCTTTCCTCAAAACCTGCTTATCGTTGACATTATTTAGTTGTATAAACATTGTTACGTCTTCAATGTGCTTCCTATTAGATGATCAACGTAATAACCGTCTGGCATGTCACAATAAACTGTCGCACTGATTCTAGTTTTTAACGAAATCACCTTTTGTATCCGTGTGGAAGGAAGCAACAAAAAGTGAATGAATGGGCGTGCGTGGCGGAACACGAAAAACAAAACAAACGGTCCATGAGCATAATTTTACGCTCTGATTGGGCCGCCTTCCGAAAAGCGCACCGGCGCTAGCAATTCGTTTTCGTTTATTGGTAAGATTGCGTCAGTTATGCAACGATTATTGCGCTACCTGGGCGTTGAGAGAGACAATGTTGCCCGAGCCATACGTAATATAACATTGTCGGGGCACCGGCGCACCGCGGGCACTTGTTCTTGCTCGCGGATTCGTAAATAAAGTCGCGAACAATGCCCAAGAATGCCGGGCCGATGCCGCTTTCGCAATATGCAAGTCAACAACGCCGAAGGCAACCCGAGAGAAACAATAAAAATGAAACCTTTTCAAATGTATGCAATTGCGCAAGAATCGTTTGATTAATCGGACATCAACTCACTTCGCATTGTTGCTCAAAATGCAAATTTACATTCGTAAGTACCAGCATGAATGAGGAGAGGATGATTTATGTACAGCGTTTTCAAATTTAAAGAAGTGAGTTACATGCGCGTCGTAATTTTCTATAAAGGTCATTAAATTCTAAATCGCATTCTTACAAGGCGAGAGAATTGTATGTAAGGTCGCAGCAATTTACAAGAAGCCATGGCGAAGTGCTTCGTGGTGCAAGAAGCGAAGAAGTCTTTCTTCGTATTTCATCATCAGACCAATTTGGCTTCATCCGGCGTCTCGACGCGATATAATTAACCAAATTAATGATGTCAATTTAGTGATTTATTACAACTATCAAGCAACACTATCTGCTGTAGATACAGAACAGTATAGTCCTGCAATAAAAAAAAAAATCCAGGGCTGGACTGTAGTTTAATACATGTTAAAATTATACATTATTCGATGGCTGATTATAAATCGGTTGTTAATAGTTAAAATCCAAGGCTGTCGCTGCTTTGTTTGCTGGATTTTGCGAAGTCAAAAAGAAGAAAGTTGGTTTTAGGATTGAATTGACTCAGCGTAGTCAATTAAGGTCATCGAGATTATTGAATTGAAATGAATTATAAAACGCCGAATCAATTGGTCGGTTTTTTTTATGCTTAAATGTGTTCGCATTAAGATTATGCTTCGAATGGTCTAAAGGAAGTCATAAATTGTGAGCGCGTGTGGAGAGAATGTATTTTCCTGTTTCAATCGAAACTTGACCGCTGACCGGAGCTTGTGTAATGTTTTGCACAATTTTTACCAGCAGCAATCAAATTGACCGCCTGAATTTCCTTCAATTTCGCGTGAGAACTTTTTAAATGCCTCGCAGAACAACAACAGCAAGAAAAGTGTTTGTTGTGGAATTCTAAAGAGAGAAAAAAAGACTAAACAGTTGCCGCAACTTTCACACGTTTACCGTCCTCCTCGCATGCGAGTGCCGCACACGGCACACGAATTACTGTAACACGCGTTGTTCTGCTTCGTGCGGTAATTTCAAGTTTTCATTTTCATTCACGGCGGCGAATTCGACGCGCATAATTTCGCAAATATGAAAAGATGAAAAAAATACCATCATCGAGCCGCGCGCATTAAAATCAAAAGTGAATTAAGTCAATTAAACTCGAGCAGCGGACGTAAGTAAGTACAAAGGCGCCTCCGCGTGTAACACAACTAAATACTTATCCGTACAAGTGCGGCGCGAAGATGCGCACAAGTCGCAGCGGGGCGAACAAAGGCCGCGAAGAGACTGATTCGCACGCCTTTTGCATCATCCCATTACTCACGCATCTCTCCTCCGCTGTGTGCAATGCGAATTATATCACTATAATACACCATAAACAACGGGCTTCGCCCATTCAGTCTTATTTCTGTCGGCTGACGCACCTCGTAAGTACATATAACGAGCGGACATTTGACTCATGGCAAAAGTTGCAATCGCAAAATTACCGACGTTCAAGAATCAACGCTAATACATAATAATAAGAATAATAATCATAATCTGTTGGTGGATTTTTCTCCAGTGTCACACTTGAATGCGCGCGCGTCTCGACTAGACGCTTTTGTAGACTTGTAGTCAAGGTAGGAAGCGGTGGGATACCAGAAGTGTGTTCTGGTTGCTAATTTGCACTCGTTAATCGCTTAAAATGCAATTTCGAATCGAATCGCAACAGGCTGTATGATCATTTGTTCGCGATCGGTAAGCGCGCGCGAGCGAAACCGGTTGGTGCCAGTTGTCGCGCGCCGAACAACTTTTACAAATCTCAAATCTAAATCGCTTTGCTAAATCTATATTTAAACGCGATGCAAAGTTCAATCGGGAGCGATTCCGCATTCGATACGCACATTTGGAGCACACGCTCCAGCCACCTTTGCGACTTCTTTGTCCAGGTGGTATTTGTCGAAAATATCGCGGTAACATTCAACTAAAGTCAGCCGATAAATAAATTTCATTGGTGTCTCCTTTGTGCTTTACACAAAATAAAATATCAAAATATGCAAAATCAAGTTTTTTATTATAAAATAAAAACTGGTGATTATCTAAATCAGTTCGATTCACACTCTTTTTTTTATTATCTCTCAAGGAAACCCAAACCGGCAAAGTTCAGCGGCGCGCACGTCATCGCACAGCACAAAAGCTAATTAA